GATTAGGACTCAAAACATCCTTATTGAAGGTTAGGGACCCAAACCCAAGCTACATGAAAAGTTGGGGATCCTAGCTTTAAGTTACCTAATTTTCTTCTAAAAAGTAGGTTCTATGAATTTCTAAACAATAGGCTCTAAATAAGGAAATAATCTGTCCCAATTATTATTTTTTATCCATTTCTGGATTGATGACGTATTTCAATCTGTTATTAGTTAGTTCATATCTATTTAACCTCCAATTTGAGCCACTTTCCTTAAAAAATTATTTTTTTTCAATTTTTTTTTTAAATTACACATTACACATGAGTTTAAAATTATTCTCAACTTAAATCATATATTCTTTAAAAAATCATTATTTTAAAATTTATTTTTCAAAAAAATGAAATGTACACTTGGAAAATTAGAATGGTGCCACGTTGACATGATCACATGGGTATGTCCACGTCACGTTTAAAACGTTGGCGTCCCTGGGTACATAGCATGTGCATCCATACTTTCCGGATTGCCTTTGCTAAATTATTTGAGAGCTGATAATCACAAAAGATGTGGGGCCCAGCTCCAGTCATATCGTTTATGGAGGACCAGGTGAATATCACGTGGGTCAATCCTTTAATTGGACCGAATGTTGCCGGGTCAGCAATGAGTAGGAGAATCAGATTTGTTTAGGGGGTGTTTTATAGACATTTTTATGTAAAAATGTATTTTAGAATAGTAAATTGATGTGAAATGTATGGTTGAGAAATAAGAAAAAGTTTTTGATTTACGTGTAATATTATTTTAATAAAAAATGCGTGATTGAAAAGAAGAGAGAGAAAAATACATTTTGAAAAAAAATGACTACCAAACGGGGCCTTAGACAATTTGGACAAACCTCATCTAAAACATCATGTATCCACACAAATATCCACTAATTTAATATTTTAGAAGAATCAAACCAAAGCTGTTTAATTCTGGTTCGACTTTTTGATCCTTGATATTTTCTAATTACGTATCCAAATATATCCGTAAAATATTAATTTATATATATTGAGCAACAGTTTCTAATCGAATTTCATGAATTAAGCATTTAGAATGAATAGTTTCTACTTTTACTTATATTTCTTTCAAATGAACTTCTTCAAAAAAGTTACGTATTTGAAAATTAATTTAAAAGAACTCTCTTTTTCAAAAGAACTTTTAGAAAAAATTACGTTAGGTCAACTTTTTCTAAAAATTCTTTTTACGAAAATAAATATTTTTATAAAATAAACAAAATATGTTCAAAGCATTCTTTTTTTAGTTTCCAAATTTCCTTTTGAATTTTCAAAAGTCATGTGAACGGGCCTTTATCCCCTTAATTGACAAAGCTTTTTGAGATAATGGGATTGTTTGATATGATTTTTGTTTTTGTTTTTATATTATGTATAAGAGTTTTCTGAAAAAGTTATCTTAATTTATATTTTAAAGCTAAATTTTAAAAGAACTTATTTTGAAAGTATTTTTAGAAGAAATCATATTGTATCAACTTTTTTTAAAAACTCTTCTAATTATAAGAAACATTTTCGTAGAATAAAATAACTTTTGAATCTCAGAATCATGTCAATTAGGCCCCACAAGGCGGTGGATTCCGTAGGATTCCGTAGAATTTGTGGTTAAAGATGGATGAAATTTGTGAACCGAATAAACTTTGTGATAAAAATGAAGTTTCATCAACTTATAATTTCAACTTTCACTTAATATTTGTCAAAGCTTTTGGTTGGTCGATCGAGCCACTTGTCATCAAGGTTATGGATTCACACTTCACAACCGTGGAATAAAAAATAAATTGAAGCATTAGGAGAGTGGTTATAATAAGTGGCTACAACTTGTGGACAATATTACAATTCTCTTCACCCTTACATTACTTGTATAAAATTAAAAACTTCTCTACCGAAATCCATACAAATATCGAATTGAAGAGAGAAATTAAAGAATTTTAGAATAGCAATGTCGAAAAAGGGTTGTGAATTGTGCAGCAATCCAGCGAGAATGTTCTGTGAATCGGATCAAGCTAGCCTTTGTTGGGATTGTGATGAGAAGGTGCACGGTGCAAATTTTCTGGTTGCTAAGCACACTAGGAGTCTTCTCTGCCACGTCTGCCAATCTCCGACGCCGTGGAAAGCTGCCGGTACGAAGCTGGGGCCGACGGTGTCCATTTGCCATACTTGTGCAGAAAACCAAGTGACGACTCAGAGAGGTGAAGATGGTGATTCTCAAGAAAGTGAAACAGATGATGGGGAGTACTATAGTGATAGTGATGATTATGTGGACGCAGAGGAAGAAGAAGAGGAGGACGGCGAGAATCAGGTGGTGCCATGGTCAAATTCTAGTTATACGCCACCGTCTCCGCATCCGCCGCCGCTACATGTAGCGAGCTCTTCTAGTAGCGACGCCGACAATATTTCTTTTACCTCATTGAAAAGAATGCGAGACAGCCCTTTTGATTCCGAGGTACCTTCTTTCTTTCTCTCTTTTATGTTTGTAAAAGCGTAGAAACTTGGAAACAGAAATGTTGACCTTTGATGTGTTTATAGGATGAAGATGCGTGCTGTTCCTTGGAGTACAAATTTACTGCATCAAATTTATCATCAGGCCATTGTTTTCAAGAATCTGAGATTGTGGGTTCGTCCACATCGAACCTTTTTAGACCATTGAAGTTGCAGAGGGCGGGAGAAGAGGCTCCGATCGAGTCCAGGACGGCGGCGATCGTGGCTTCACTCAGAAAATTCCAGCGAGAAATTGTTTCTGGGGAAGAAGATGCATCTGCAATTATTCTAGGCATTAGCAAACTCACCAGAGATTCTTAAACCCTGTGTGAAGATTGTTGAAACTGTTTCCAATGCTAATTCAAACCGACAAATTTCACTGTTAATTGGGCTAATTTGTTAATTTCTAGTTGATGAACAGAGTTAATATTTTACGCCATTGTTGCTACACCGTTGGTATCATTTCTCCCAATTTTCCCTTTCCCAATATTTAATAATCCAAAAAACTTTGTTGTTTCTTGTATTGATTGTACAATTCCTATTCTTCTTTATTCCACTTCAACCATGTTTGCCATTTTAGTTATTGCTTGTTATGCCATGCTATTACTGTATCAAGATAATGAAAAAAGTTCAGTTTTTGTTTGAACAGTACAATTTCCTCGACAAATTATTTGACAGAGCCTGAGGTAACAAGTAACTTTAATTCTTGTTTTAAACTACGTAGTACTATCCAATCCAGCAGGGCAGTAATTATGACACTGAAAAAAGGAAAGTTCCATTATTTAAAAAAAAGGTTAAACCCTAACCTTAAGGATCCCCCACCACGCCTGCCCTGGAGTATCATGAGGGAGGTAAATCGCAGGTTATGCCTCCAAGGGTACAGGGTGGAAGACTGCTCGTACACTTGTACTTACCCAAGAGCCAAATCCATATTTCAGGATTCGAACCCTTGACGCAGCAGCCTCAAGTAAAGTTGAATTTTTCCACCCTCCCCTTTTACCACTTGGAGATGTGCCCTGGGGGCAAGAAAGTTCCATTATTTGGTTAGCTTTAAAGGTGATGAGTTGTTTTCAGGCTGCTGCTGGATGCAATGAACCTCAATAACGAGTTGAGAAAAGTCGGATATAGATGCTGACAGCCCAACAATAGGAACCTTGCCCACCCCGAATCCATAATTATTCTCCATTCAATTCAAATCAATCTTCCATCAACAAGGTGATTAATACTCCCATTTTGGTATTCATTTGTGCCTCTTGTTTCACATTGGGTGGAATGACATTCGCCCGGCCTAGTCCCTGCCAACTAGCCCTTGTCATATCTATTGACAGGAAGCAAACTACTCCACGTCCATAGATTCCTCTGCTGATGACACTTTGCATAAAGCACAAGTACTCGATTATACAAGTTGAATAAGTTCGAGGCAAGCAATATGGGATGAGGTAGAGAAACGACGTTGCACCAGAGCCATTCAATGGTTTTTGCAGTGTAAACTTGGTTCCTATCCTCTGCAGCCTTTTCGCTATTGAAGTTAAAATGAAGTTCTTTTAACCATGTCAAAGAGTTAAGTGCTATGCTTGGTGTCCAGCCTCATGATCATCATGGAGCCCCCGCACGTAGGGGGCTGTATGTGTACAGTCCCATTTGGACTGTACACTTAGAAAAACCCAAGAGTTAAAAGAGAACGTACAGATTTAGCAATCATTGGACTAAAGGAATTATTAGCTCCACCAAATGCTAACCACGAGTTTGTTCAACAATAATTCAAGAAACCGTCACTAGAAATTACAATTCGCAGAGAATATTATCCAATCCAAGAAGGCGATATACAAAATACATTGAATTGTTAGTGCTTAGGATCAGAAGGGACCTCAGCAAAGGACTTCTCTTTAACACATGGACCACAGAGCAACTCTAATCCTAGCAATTGTCCCTACACAAATAATCGTGTCTACTTTCAAACGCCTTAACATATTGAAATAAAGAATTGATTATCCATTCTTAAATGCTGAGGCTAGATACATATCAAATTGTGCCGAGTCCCCAAAGCAGCTTGACACACGTTATGGGCAGACCATGATGATCAAACCCTTGTGGGTTGGTTGAGAGAGGCCCAGCTTAGTTCATGATCGAACGGGACAGGCTTTCAACTGAAAAGCAAATTAAATGGCTCCAGGCCTGGTCAATAGGTCTGGCGCCAGGAAGGTCTTCCTCCAAGCCTAGAGAGGAGCCAAAGTCTAGGCTCTCTGCTGCTGCATAGAGCCGGTTGGCCCTCATTGGTTGGCAAAAAACAGCAAAACTGAAATTTTATCCCAAGACAAATCTTCAAATCAGATTTGAGTTGAAGATAAAAGCAACTTGCATGTCTGGATGGAAATTCTAGAAAAATAGCAGCAGTTTTATGAGAAGAGGTACACATGGATTGCAACGATTTAAAAATTGCAGCATAATAAAACTGTTAATGCTAATAGAGAAAGAAAACACATCAAAGATGCTAGTAATGATGACACAGAGAGCGACTGTTTATAGACACAATATTACTCCATACATCAAGTAAATCTGAACGATTCTTGTCAACTAAAATATAGCTCGAGGATTGTGATTCCTTCTGCATACTGCAAACAATGATAGAAAAATCATCAGAACTTAAAAAATAGTGACCAACTCAAAGATAATATATAAACAATCAAAAGAAAACTTCTATGCATGCTATTTCCATTTCTAACGATGTCCACCATCGGAAATAGATAAAGAGTTATCCAAGAATGTCTCGAAATAAGGAATGAACCGCTGATACCCCCATAAAGATGGAAAATAGAGTTACTCAAGAATGACTCAAAATTAGGAATCAAACCACTGATGCCTATAAAGATGGAAATAGATAGAGTTACTTACGTATGAATCAAACTCAGGAATAAAACCATTGATACCCAAAAAAATGGAATATAAATAGCAAATTTCAACAGGAATCCTAAACCAAATTAGAATACATACCTGCTGCCTTAAGAGGATGTCCTGGACTCAAGTTTGAATTAAATATCTGTCACAAACAAGTAACATCAATAAAATACTGGAAATGCAGACATATATACGGTTGTTGAAAATAGACATCACCATCAATTCCAGCACCTTCAATCAGCATTATTTCAACCAGTCACAGCATACCACTCTCAATGGAACCTTAAATTTAACTCCTATCTTGCCAAGAACATACTAGTTGTAGATAAAAGTAAGAAATCCAGTTACATCAATCTTGAATAAAGTGGAGGCAGGCAGATGGCATGCCCACACCCAACCCAACAAAGATCTTAGGAGATCCTTTTTATACAATTATCCTTCATTAAAATAGTGAGAAATGCCCACAAACCCTCATAGAACAACACACACACACAAGCGCATTCTATAATAACTGCAAATTGCAAATGTAACTGCTAGATGCATTCATCACAACCGGATGCATATGTAATGCCTTCTAAGGAGGTCTAAAATTTACATGAATGAACTGTCTATAGTTTTCAGTTTCCATAATCAAGTACCCTCCTAAATTCTCAACAGTTGCAACTATTTTCTTTCTACAAACAACTATAGGTAATGTTATTTAAATTGGCAGCTTACTTCATAGTTTATCTTACTGTCATTATTCTCTAGCTACTCATTTTCACATAACTAATTGAAGTTAGTGTATTAGATCCTAATTTATATTACATGGACCAAACTAATGAGGCTTAGTACCAATGTCAGACACTTGACAAGAGTAAGTCCCCATTTCGCCCTCATTAATTTTCATTCCATTACATTTTATTTCTCTCTCCCTATTTATAATCACACAATCTTCCATAAAATAATATTACATGTAAATCGAAAATTTTTCCTTCTTTTTCAACCACTTTTCAACCATTCATTTTTCAAAAAAACACTATTTCACCCATTTTCTTCTTCACAAAATGGGGGCCAAACAGGGGCTAAGGCGCGTAGGATCATTTTTTTAAGCATAATGTGAACAGGAAACCTGCTTACAATCAGAAGACGAAGTTCTAGGGCTATTGCTAAACCATTCTTCAGCAATGGTGCTTACCATCAGCACCGCTTAGAAGCAAGAAAACACACAGAGACAAATAAATTTCAACAACCTATCATCTATAAATCCATTTTGGGAGCCTAGTTTTATTTTTCCTTTTGTTGGAATAATTGAGGACCATTTTACAATATTAAAGCCTACCCTTCTAGGTCAAATGTACTTACTTAGTACCTTATAATAACTTCGTACAACTACAACTAGCCACGCAAAATGGACTACTATTTATAGGAAAACTGGTGCTCAGACCTAAAACACATTAAATCATCAGATTATTGCTCCAAAAATAGATCGGTTAGCCAAAATATTAAATTCTAGAATTATATAGTTTGCAGGTAACATTTCCCTCCTTCCTTTTTCAATCTTTCCTCCTCTACATATTATTCTTATTCTACTTTATCGTATGAGCTTCTGGACTTCGATCACAATATGCAGCCATATCCAATTCCGATCCATCTTTTCATGCCAAGAAAAATCAAATCTTTAAAAAGAATTGTCAGTTCTTCATTTAGTTATCATTAAATTATACTGGCCAGATCCAATTTAGGCAGCCAACTTGAGTGCAGATCTCTAAACAGAACTTAAAACATTTACTATTCGTCCAGATGGAGCCCAGCAAGTTTCTTATTCGTCCAATCATGATTCTATAACTCTCCTCTCGTAAAAATTATAATTTCCGTTCACCCATGTTCACAACAACCGAACCAACAATAAATTTATATTCAAAAACAGGTGATGCAAATATAAATTAATTGAAACCAAGGGAAAACCGACCTTTGCAATCATGGGTAGCATCATTGTCGTTCTCCCCTGCAGAAGTCGAAGGCACAACAGGCTTGTCCCCTCCTTCACTATCCTTCTCTTCAGGATACCTCACGACGACAACAGGACAAACACAATGTCTCACACAGTAATCGCTGACGCTCCCGAGCCTCCCATTGTTCCCCTTCTTCGTGGCGCCAAATCCCCGGCTGCCCATAATAACAGCACTTAATCCAAGCCTCTCCACTTCCAAGCAAAGCCTCTCCTTCATGTCATGGTCTTTCACAATGTGAATTTTGAATGGGATTTGAGCCTCCACGAGGGGCTGGGCCAGATCAGAGGCCTTAGTGGTCGTAAAAGTATCAAAATCGTCCTCAAGCTTCTGCTGAGACTCCACATCCTCAGTGTCGACAATTGATAGATCAACGGAACCCCAATCAGCACCGTAAAGGACAGAAGTAGGCCTCACATGGACCAACACAACGGCATCTCCGGGACGGAGGTAGTGGTGGACAGCCCACTTGACAGCTAAGGCAGACTCATCACTGAGGTCGACAGCGATGCCAATCTTTCGCTGGGCGTTGGCCGTGGGTGTCTCGGTGGACAAGGGAGTGGTGGGGGGAGGGAACCGCGGCGATGAGGAACGGACCTTGACGGCGGCGAGTGATGGCAGGTCGGAATTCGGCGAGGGGTTCTGCATTATCGAAGAACAGGGTTTCTTTATACGTTTACCTAGTGAGGAGTGGAGAGTTGGCCCGCCGCCTGCTTCATTTTAATGCTTATCGATTTCCTAGAAGTTTCGAGAGAGAACAAGTTTTGAGTTTTTTTTAGTAATTTTTATTTTATTATTTTCACTATTCAAAATTAGTTTCATGATTTCTCTTGTTATATATTTTTATTTTTTTTTGTTCTCAAAATAGATTTATATTTTTTTATTTTTTTGTTCTCAAGATAGATTTCAAATTCATTTTTATTTTAAATTATTCAAATAAATTCTATAACGCAATAAATTGTTATATCTAGAGACTGTACAATCTATCTAAATTCAGGGGTGGATACAAATTCTTTTTGTTGAAGGGTGAAAATTTAAAGTGTAATTTTTTTAAAAATAATATAATATTAGTGAAAATAATTATATCATCACCAATATTATTATATAAATTTTGCTATTTGTATAGTTTTGTTTACCATTTCATTGACAAAAGTTGAGCTGGGGACAAATAAATCAATTGGAATGTAGGGAGTAAAATGAATTGAAATAAAATTTACATTTAATCTATGAAATAAATGAAATTTAAATTTAATGTAAAAGTAATTCGAAAATAATTTAAATTACATTTAATTCATAATGATTCTAAAATTTTTGACGTTATATGCCATGTAAAATTTTCTATAAAATTATTTAAATTATATTGAAAATTTTATCATACAAAAATAATAAATGTCAATGAAATAATTGAAATAAAAAAAAATAGAAGAAGAAGAGTTAGGTGCCTCCTTCACGGCGTATGTTTGATATATATTTAATTATTTTTTATATCCGTTTGAATCATTCAATATGATTACAATGTCTATATATACTGCTTGTGTTGTGATTATTGAAGCATTTGTGTCGAAAAAAGATACTTGTACAGCATTTAAGGGCTGTAAAAATTACAACCTTCTCACATGTGTGGACTCAGTGGTGGATTTAAGGGTTGGCCAACTAGGGCGGCCGCCCTGGCTGGATTTGCCGGAGAAAATTTTTTTTTGTTGATAATAGATAAAAATTTTAGGTTATATAACTGGTAGTTCATTTTATTTTCAAACTTCTCTTCTGCTTAATTGGTTAGAGCTTGCATATTTATATTACAAGTCTTGACTTTGATTCCTTCCCGTCCATTTCATTGTGCAAAATTTTTATTTCTACAATATTTACCAAAATTAATTCCCTAAGTAAAGGATTTGAAGCTATAACTTCTAATTTGGATGATTGGAAGTTTAACCATTATGACAATGGTTGAATTTTGAATCTAAATTTAACAAAATAATATATGATAAGACTCTAGGCAAGTCAATGACTTTTTTTTTTTTTTTTTTTTGTCGTTTCAAATATTTTATGCTTTAATAATTTATAAAATATAACTTATGAGTATTGAGTTTTAATTTATATGTTATTTGAGAATTTGTCTACTATGAATTGTGATATTAAAAATTAATTTGAGTATCATGAAATGTGAATATATGATTTATGAAAATTGAAAATGAGAAATTGGGGAATTTATAATTTGTGATGACTTGGTGTTGAGAATTGGAAATTGGAATTTTAATTATATTTTAAAATTAATTTTAATTACATTTAATCTTTGATTAATGTTCAATTATCATATTGATTATGAAATGATTTTTTCAACTGAATCTCAATCTAATTCTTGTATTGGTGTATCTAATCTCTCAGCTACTTTTAATCAAACAAACGATTTGTTAAGTATTGATAATACAATTTTTTTTTTATGTATTATGTAATTTATATTATTTCAGATTGTATTGAAATATAATATGATATAAATATACAATTTTTACGTTTTAGTGTATTTATATATAAATCGAAGAATTTTTAATATTATTTTATTAAATATTAATAAATGATATTGCTATACGGTCGTTGACTATCGACAGCCAATGATTAACGATCGTCCTAACTGAGTCGAAGTCCTAAATTCGCCCTTATGTGGACCTGCGATTATTTTAATCGCGATCCTACCTTTTATATGTGAGAAGATTGCATAAATTATTGTACAACTTGATGTACATGTAACACTCTTCTTGTGTGTCTACATGTATACAGATCTACAGCAGTAGAGTTGCTACTGCCACCTTTCTTCTAACTCTTACCAGAGTTGTTGAATTTTTGTCCTTTCTTTGATGATTGAGATTTTGTACCACTTTTTTTGATTGGCAGGAACCTTTGCGGAGAATGGTTAATGAACATTCAGATTTCAGACCTAAAGATTTGTGCACTTTTAATTAGGCTTCAAACATCAAGTTATTAGGATCTTGTTTAATAGCAAGGTTATAGCTCATTATTTTACACAATTAATTAATTTTAGCCTATATTTGACCCATTTTCTAAAATTTATTTTTAACTTTATGTTTTATGGGATTTATAATTTTTCAATTTTTCAACAACACAATTTATCAACTTTTATTAAAATTTACTAAAAGTCTGATTTTTTAACTAAATCAAATAGAAAACCCTAGTTTCACGATGTCTAGTAGTGTAAGTTTGTCTATAAAACTCTTGTGGTCATACCATACTCTACCTTGTAATATTCTTATCTCTATGTATTAATAAAATGATCGGTTCACTTTATTTAGGACTTGTGTTTTCCTTATTTTGAGCCTTACAAAAAGTGTGCTGTGACGATTCATCAATTAATGGTTACAAACTAACTTTTCTCTCCATTTCTCTTTGGGGAAAAAAATAAAATTATTCTTCTTTTTCAAACATCCTTAAATTACCATTTGCTTTCAAGTCAAAATTAAAAGTAGCATGTCAAGAGGGAACCTATGGAATGGGCGTGGGTTGTTTGCACATAAAATACCAGAAAAACAAGACGTTTTGATGATGAACATACATTGAATGTCAATGTCATCAAGATTGAAAGTGATTTCATCAATTATAGTTGATTCAGTAGACTTTCAACTGTGAACAACAAAATATATATAATTCAATATTGCACAAAATACACACAAGTGATCAGACATTTCACATATCTTGTGACTTTATTAAAACTTCACCACACCAACAGCTATTATTATTCAAGTTTACAAAGGACAAAACAGCAGAAGAGTATACAAAATTACATGGCCGATTCTTTCTCAGTGTTTTCCTCAGACATCTCTCTCTCTGTCTCCGTGATAAGTTTAGCTCTTGCATGTCCAGCCTGTATCCTGAATTGATCACCCAACCCAAAATGTGCCATCAGTAGCCAAACAAAAGTGACTAGTTCCCCGCCTTTGGTTAGCTGCTGAGCATGCGCGTTTCCTCTGCAATGACTGGCGCCATAGCTAAGCAATTCGACCAGCACTTCACTCATCATCTTCCACATTTTGTCGTCATCAACTCTCTTTAGATCCTTAGCAAGCATGCAGGCTTCAAACAGCACAGATTTGCTTCTATCGCCCTTGATTTCAACTGGCTTGACTGGCGTAGCTACTTTCAGTAGTTCAGCACGTGCTTCTTTTTCCATTGTTTGGTCGGATGGCCGGGATCGGTCGGGAGTCATCTTAAACCTGCGGAGAAATTCCTTGGCTTCCTCACAAGTGTCCTGGAACCTGATTTGAAAAATACCTGATACTGCAGACGTCAGCGAAGGTTGCATGAAAAGAAGATACAACATATAATCTGAAAGTTGGTTGCAGAGTTTCTTATGATCTACATCATGAGCTTCTTTCCGATCAGTAATCGGGTTCTTCTTTTTCCAGTGTTTCACTATACAATCCGTAACGATCTTGCTGAAATTTCGATTATTCTTATTGTCTTTAAGTTCTGTACTCTCGAAATACAATATGTCAGTAGCAATGTGCCACTTCAACACGCTCTCATTGAACTCTACATTTTCGCCCACAGTCGCCACAATTGATTCTCTACTAGTATATCGAAGAACAGCCATATGACCTTTAGAAGAATGTATCTCCCTTGCACTTATTGCGTCCTTTGCTTCATCAGCCTTTGCTTTAAGCTGATTGAAAATGAAATCTTTCAAGTCGTTCTCTACAGAAATGAAGTCCCTGTGCATCATGAATTCAAATATTTCCTTGAGTCCAACATATTCAACCACTTCGTCCAACAATTTAAACCGTCTCTTCAAGCAGAAACTGATCAAGTTGTGCTGACCCATGGATTCAGACCAACGGCGGCGAAATGAAATATACTTCCCGATTGTATAAATCGGCCGTAAGACCTTCTTTAACTTGAGAAGAGCTAAAGTCCAATCAGAGAGGATGAGCTTGATGAGAGCTACAATGTCCAGGATAATAGCACCAATAAGCAAAGAATAGGTAATGGCAATGTCAAATGGGTGGATATGTGGCTTATGATGCGATTGGAAGAGAATATATGTAGCTACTATCAAAGCAGTGCAAATAAAGCGGAAAATGTAACCCAAATAGCTTTTATACACTGTGGCCATCTTGGTAAAAAGTGCATCATACATGAAATTGAGCTCTACCTCCATTACCCTGAAAGCGCATTGTGCATTCAAACCTAAGAAGAAACTCCGGCTCTCATCGCGTTCCTGGAAGCTAAACATATGATCAACAATTAGTCCCCTGAAAATCTGGTAGAATCTGAATCCTTCTCGTACAATTTCAATGTCGTTTAGCGGCTTCACCTCAGAGTTGGCTTGTCTCTCATTTTCCTTGTTGCCTTGTCTCTCAGATTCATTGACAGTTATAAATTTTACAGGCAATCCCGCTTCCAGCATTGAAGAGTATTCCCCCATAAGCTGCGCATAGTTAGGTCCAGCATCTGGCTTTGGTTTCAATGAATCCTTAAAGTTACCTAAGCATGCTAGGTACAGTGCACGTGTACGTTCTGCATATTTAATCAAACCAGCCAATAAAACAAGCAATGTTTGAAGCCAAAAGGAAAAAGGAATTGCCTGTGTAAACACATAAACAACCATAATAAGCTCGGCTATTAGGCCAAACAAATGGCGGATCCATAGTTCGTTATCTTCAAGAGAGAAAGCAGTGATGCTGTCTGGCCCACCAAGGTGCAGCAACAGAAATGGGGCCCAAAAGGCCGACAGGGCATCGTTTACATTGCTTTTATCACACTTGTCTCCTTGATTGTTGGATATAAGTCCAATTGCATAGGCTGCAACGAAGTCCGCCAGAAGATATGAAGTCCATACTATTGGGATTATGATATACCCTCTAGCTTGTTTTCGTAAAGGTGCAAGAAAGATTAACAAAATCTGCAAGCAGAGACTCGCAAGAACCGAACCACGAATATTCCATTTATCCCATACCCTTTGAAGCCTTTTAGGTATGACATTGACAGTCATGGTTCAGTGACAGAAACGCAGAATGGTGCTACGTGTTCTACCCTGGAACACCTGAAATATGTATTAATTTCACAGTGGAAAAAAGAAAAGAAGACGACAGCATAGGTTTCATTAACTAGGTTTGATGAAAACTGAAAAAAGAAAACAGTTGCTAAATTCTGGCAATTTGTTAGTGCAGATCATGGAAAATTGCAGACGAAAACTAGATTCACATTATAATGATTCTAAGGAATCACGAATTTCAAATGGAATGCAAATTCATGAACGCATTTCCCCAAATCTTTCCATGGCGAGAAATGGATGCCTTGAAATCCTTGTAAGCAAAGAGCCATAATTCAAGTTCTCTCCGATTAGTGATATACTTCCATTCAGCCAATTTTCCGTGACCCAAATATTTACCTTGTTGACAAAACCATCTTACTGAAAAATAGATTGCTCGGAATCTAGAGACTGAAATGTTTTTGCCGTTAAAGAAGAATGCCACGAAATGAGAAAAAATTATCAAATTAAAACTAAGCACGCAGATCCAGGGGACTGAGTGGAATGCGTAACAATATCTGTAAAGTAAAAGAAATTACAAAATATTTCGTATTACCCGATAGATGGAAACTTGAAAATGCTGCTTCTTCTCCTTGTTCTTCTTCTTGTAGAGAAATTGGGGATCACTGAAACCTTGCTTCAATTTATAATAGCCCATGTGATGAAGAATGGGCTGAATTCACGTGTGGTGAATATACTTTACTTGAGTGTTCATCGGTAGGGAAGTGGTAATCAAGTTTTTGTCTAACTGGATAATTATACGTTAATATGATTTCAATTAAGTAATTATACACATATTTGACATTAATTAGGTAACTTCATATTAATTTAATTTTAATTAAGGTAAACTTTCTCCAATTTCATTAACAGAGACGTGATAGTTCATCACCAGAAAAAGATGCGACGTAAAATATGTACAATTTCAATGATTTAAATCACGTTTCATTTATTAACTATTAGTTATTCGATGTTTGCCCGGTTAAGTGACAGAATTAGATAGAATTATACGACTGAAATCAAATTAAAATGTTGTCGTCGAATTTGAAAAAGTGAAGTACGTATTTGATTGACAATAGAGTAAAGAATTTAACCGATAAAATATACTTTTGTATTGATTCATAACTTAATATGGTAATGTGATACTAAACTTGCTTCTTTGTGCATTCTTACTTTACTTCCCTTTATGCAATCTTACTTTATTTTTGTATTCAATAAGCAACTTTTACTTTATTTATCTTTCCATTTGAGCTATTCGCGTTTCATTGTGTTTCACAAAGAGGATTTGAAATATTATTACGTTAACAAGACAATATGAATCTGTAATTTTTTAAAATTAATATACTTATGGATTATTGTCTACTTTTGAGTGTTATCCGCCAGTCCTCAAATCCAGCGCACCTGGCAATGTCTTCAATCATAATACGGTGAATGGAATGGCTTTCAAATCCTGATTTCTGTACTGTGAACTGGACCATATATTGGACTCTGATGCTTAAGCTCGATTTTCTAAGTATCCGTTGGAGACTATTATACATTTTGTTGAAAGTAAATTGTAATTTTCATGTCGAACATGGAAATTTCGAGTTCAAGAGAAACATAGAATTTTAGCTGTGCCCCTTTAATCTAGTGGATGTTCAAAATTTCATTTTTCTTTCCTACTAAAGTTGGATTTATCTCTTGAATGCTTTTCCTCTACTTACTTTTGTAAATACTACACGTTTGTCATTTAAACTCTTCTACTTGTTTTTCGGTTTCTTCTGCAGTCAAACAGAATTAGTTTCGAGTTCCATAGGGATGCCGCTGAGCACATGTTCACGAAGATCGACGGTGAACCATGGAAGCAACCCCAGCCCTTCAACGATGACACGGTAGTCATCGAAAAATCTCACTTCGACAAGTAAGAATGCTGGCCAACATACACTGCCAATCCAAAAGAATCAATGCACCTGATTTGCCATATAGGTGTGAAGAACATGAGTATGACAGTAACGAAGAAGAATTCCAAGATGATTCAACGGAACGGGAGAAGATATGTTCTGCTAACACTTTTCGACTACCAGATGATTTTGATATAGCACAAATTAGTTAAGTCATCAAATTTTGTCTCCTCTTTTGTTATCCTTATAAGATTTTCCACGCACCGAAGTATAATGCTTTGTCAGGCTAAAGATAAGCAAATAAAGTGATGGCGTGTGGTTAAAATTTAACGTGTATTTTGGGTATTTTGTCATCAAATTTTGTCTCCTCTTCCTTTCATCATGTATTTTGTGTTGACCTATGGTTGACTTCTCGTTTTGATTATCACAAACAAATTGCGTTTATTTCTAACAAATTGAATTTGAGTGTTTATAGAGATTATTGCAAAATTGAAGACACAAAGATTGAGATAAAAAGACTTGCAATTGACAATCAACATAGAAACAGAATCGGCAATTAATGGATTAATGGACGTAAAGACAAAAACCGAGCACTCATGTTAAATTGTTTTGAAGAAAAAGTCAAACGTCAAATATCAATCCATTAGACGTAGATGTTCTGAATTTGTATGGAAATGTAAAACACTTTAATTCTTAGCATTGTATCGACAATAACTCAAAAAGAATTTTTATGTACGAGAAAAATTCAAGTTACAAAAACGATTGCATAAAAATTATTTTCAAAGGATAAGTATTTCAATTCAATGATCAATTTTTTACCAAATCACTTACCTTGAAAAATATGACAAAAAAGTCCTTCAAAAGCCTACAACAATCAAAATTATCACGAAGGAAAGTGTCCGGGGACATTCTATCCATCCGGACGTCCGGATCGCCAACCGGACGTTTGGATGCCCCAACGGTAAAAGATTTGGCCGTTGTAAATCTGATGCATAACGGCTACTTTTGCACTGTCCAATTTAGACCTGGACGTCCAGATGACTCATCTAGATCAATAGAAATTCTAACAGTTTCACTACTATAAATACCATTTCATTTTCATTCACCGACAACTTTAAGAGCATTGCAGTGAGGCATTATTGATTCCAACTACTTTATTTTTAATTCTCAAAAGATCAAATCATCTATTTCTTGAAAAGCTTTTTGAGTGAATCAAATTTTTGAAAATCACTTTTCTCACAAAAGTTTTTCTACTCTAACACTTGAGCTATATTTATTGCTATCTATTAAAGTGTTAGCCTACTTCGCTCTTGGTACTTAATTTTGACTATATCATTCATTAAGAGAGAAGAATTTATTTGTGAAATTTATTCTCTTTTTAATTGTTGGTTATGTTGAGGTCCTGTAAAGTGCAACATTGTATAATGATCGATGCTCTTTATTTATAAGTCATCGAAAGCGTTATAAAGGATTGGATTGCACCATGAGTCAATTAATATAGTGAAAAGGCCTTACTCGTGCTGTAGAGCTTGGTAACGAAAGACGTCGATCATTGCTTTTGGTCAAATCTCCACTATCGTTTGCATCATTTCTCCCTTTTATTGACCACTTTTATATTGTACTTATTACTTGTTCTTATTAGATTTTATATTTGTGCATATTTGTTAAATTGTTTCATTTGCTATTACATTGATTTAAAACTCGAATTGATCTTCTAAGAATTTTTGAAAACCAATTTAGCCCCTTCTTGGTTAGCTATTCTTGCGCTTTCATTTTGTTTACATACATTTGACTTACTGAATAAAAATATATTATTCTACTTTGGCCTTCTATTTTGTTATTATGGATGTGATATTATGCTATAATTTCAAATATGTTTCACCCGCATTTGGTTCATTCATCACGTATTCACCTTTTTTTATTGTATATGAACGAATCACTATTTACTGCTGTATGTAAATGCACAAAGTGATTTCTTTATTGAAGTAATTCAAACATACCAATACCCACCTGTAATCAAATGGAAGGTTGATAGAATAACATGGAAAGAATGAAATGCAAAAGGATCGAGGCAAGAGTTAAATTCTTTGTCCTTAAGATAAATTTATCCTGCACAGTTGACTAGGGTTTATGGCAATTGTCTTCCAAAATACAATGATCAATTTTTGTGTTTGCAACACTTCAAAATACTAGAAGCGATGAACCGAGCGAAGTTATGAACTCCTTTTTGGAATGAAAATTAAAGGCTTTTGACATAGAATTTTGGCTAAAAATTAAGGTTATATGATATGCTTTGATTGCATAGAATATGAGCAAATGAAACCAACACACAAGGGTCTAACTTATAGAGGTTGAGGAGGTGCACATGAAGTGACACAACCCAAAAATCAATGTGTTTGATGAACAGTTGCCTAGGTTAATATGCCACCCGCTTACCACATTGTTGTCGCTCGAGTGCACATTTCAATGACTCGCTGCTTGAGCGACGTTCTTATATAAAAGTCCGATTTTTATTCAAAAATCATGTTTTTCAACCCTATTTCATTCATTAATTTCTCATTCATCCAAAAATAGTTTTTGACTTCCAAATATACCAAATTCATCTAATAGACGTGTAGAACATGATCGACCCATTTCTCTTTTTACTCAAGTAGTAGGACCCATCCAAATTTATGCAAGAGGTTTCGAGTCAAGTGATATCGAGTTGTCTGCAAGATAATCGTTATTCTGCCCGACGTCACAGTTTTTTTTTTTTTTTTTTTTTTTTTTTTTTTTTTTTTTAAGTTTGATGAAAATCAACCTTCCTTAGCTATTTTCCAACATTTACCTTTCCTTTTAAGGAAAGAAAATTTAAAAAAAAATCAGTTGGTCTTTTCTTCAATTCTACACAGGAAAAGTGCCCACTTTTGGCCACGCCAGGTCATTAAACGTGGGTTAAATGAGTTAATTATTTCAACACTCACCAAACTTTGTATAATTTCACATTTTATTCACTGTATTTTGAGTTGTACTTCATTATTTACTGAACTTTGTAAAGCTACACTCTATCATTCACAAACTAACTTCCATGTTAATTAACATGGCTTACGTGGATAATGGATTGCACATCAGGCAGATTGAATAAGTCCAAGTCATAGATGAAATGCCACATAATTTTCTCCTCAACCCAATCACGCCTTAGCCATAAGAAACTAAATGCAGGAGATTGAAACCAAAACCAAAACTCTCCAAGCCAATTGCATCTCTCAAATCGGTGAACCTTAATCCCCAAGCTTTAGGGGGTGTGTTCAATTGGGACTTTTGAAAATTTTAATGGAGTTTTTTTGAGTGATGATTTCTATGGATTTCGTGGATCTTTTATAGATTTGCATGGAATTAGTGGAAGTTTTTCATAAACTTTCATTAACTTTCATTTCAAAATTTTTATAGACTTTCATATATTCCAAAAGATTTTTGAAAACTTTAATTTGAAATAGAATTCACGTGGATTTAGTATAATGGTGTGAAATCCTCACATACGAGGTGTTGGTTTCCACAATTCTCCTTCTTCCCATATAATAAAAAAATTTAAAAGAATAAAAATTTAAAACATTAATTAAATAAATAATAATCAAAATTATACATATATATGATAAACAATAAATTTAATATTAAATATTATTAATATAATATATTTTTAAAAATAAATAAATCAATATATTTAAATTTAATTATAAATTTTTCATATAAAATTTTATATTTTTAATATAAAATAGATATTTTTTTACAGAAAAATGAATGCAAAATGAAAAAAAAAAGTTATTAGAATCTAATTTAATTTTTCATAGAAAATAGAAATAAACAATAAGAAAGAGAGAGATAAATAAAAATAAATATAATCAATAAAAAAATAAATTTTAATCATATCTATTCATAGAAGGAAAAAGAAAAGAAATATTGAAAAAAAGATTTTAATTATTTATTTATTTTATTTTTTGGTGAAAGTCTCCCAAAATCTCATAATTAATGAGAGACAAATTTTAAGATTTTATATGAGCACTTTATGCTTAAAAGTTAATACTCCATAGATTTTTATAAAAGTCTCTAGAAATTATTAAAATTTGAATACTCTAAAACTTATAAAGACTTTTAAAATTTTTTAATTGAATATATGTAAGCAGGCATACGCTCATCCGAAATGGACAATATGCATGATATAGCGGTTTAGACATAGAGGCCGGGTGATGCAATAAGGAAACAATTAAAAGTCTATTCAAGGCGAAAGACTAATAATTAGTAGAATTCGAGTTTATTTAGTAGTTTTATTTTGATAATTAGAATTCTAGTATATCTAAATTATAATAGTTTTATTTTGACATTGTTATCTTTTATTTTCAAGTTTTTTTAGATAAGAAGTTTATTTAATTTCAAAGTCCTTCTCTATATAAAAGGGCTTAGGGTAATATTTAGAAACACTTGCATTATATGAATAAGATTATTTCTTTTGCCCTCAATTTTTCCCTGTAATTTCTCTTTCTTCTTATTATTCTTTATTAATTTGTGTGTTCCTGCATCAATTTGGTATCAGAGCAAGCTCGTTCCCTTTGGCCACAGAATCATCAACAATCCTTGACCTCGTTTCCATCTACCTTCATATACAGCCACCCTTCCAGCACCCATTCAACACCAATAACTACCATTACATACGGCAGCCTTTGAACATCACAAAACGAAAGAGGAAGAGCATTTATCCCAGCAGCAGTTTTAAGTTTTCTTTTAGTTCTTTGTTCTTAGTTAAAAAAAATCCAAAAAAAAAAGAAAAGAAAGGGAACTGTTCACCGGTTAGTAGTAGTTGCATTAGATATTCTGAAAAAAAAAAAAAAAAAAAGAGTAGTACAATTTATTGTCGATTATTCCTCATATTGCTGCTTCATATGTCACAACTGTTGTTGTTCAACCAAAGGCACCCTATATTACCTATCCATCGCTAATTTCGTCGCTACCAAACCACTCCCCCAGTCCACCACTATCATCTATTTCCTAAACATCCATAACCACCACCACTTCGTCGCACAGGGAAGAATCACACCACTAAAGTCATCATTTTCCCCTCTCAAATCCATAAGCTGCCTCCTACCACTTTGTGCCAACCACTTCGGCTCCAAACACTTAAACTCGCCGCTGCTCCACCACTCAAATTCGGAATCTCCGCCTCTACTGTCACGGTCAAGTCCTCCACGCGTTCGGTCACCATCATCGCCACCGAGGTACAACAATTTCATTATATTTTCATCTCCGTCACTCCACTGCCGCTCGAAGTCTTTCGCAACTGTTACTGGCCCCAGTCTGGTCACTACTCTTGCTATCACCATCTCCGTTCCACCACTGCTGCAGCGAGTCCTGCCGTTTTGTGAGAAGCCTGTGGCCAGTTCTTCCCTTGTGTTTTGGTAAGGATTTCCTTCTGCTTTTATTGAAACTTTGCTATTATTCAAGTACTTTGCCTTTTACGTAGTGTTGCATTCGTTCCAAGTTAAAAAAAAATTTAAAAAAATAATCTTTTTCTCAAATCAATACAAATGAATCTCAAAGATTTAGAACACTCACACGAAGTATTATCTCAGCAAGTTGCCAATCTTTCAACTGATTTAGCGTCTATGAAGGCTGATTTTGCTGAACTTAAAGATTTTATCATTGAGTTACGTCGAAATCCTGAAAAATGCCCCGCAGATAATTTTTCTGAATCCACGACCATAGGTCAAAACATTCATAACATTGCTCAACAGGCTCCTGTCATTCCACCTAGAGGGGAATCCCCTACGATACAGCATCCTATTCACAACGCACACACCCCCGAATATCTGGAACCTGGTGTCCAATATAATACTCGCCCTGAACCCCGCCCCCCACATTTTGATCGACATAGGGACCTTGTTGATGACATGTCTAGAAACATTAAAGTAGATGCTCCCGAATTTGATGGCCGTCTAGACCCCGAAGCCTTTTTAGATTGGATGGACTCCATCGAAGAATACTTTGATTGGTATCGCATGCCGGATTATCAGCGGCTTCGCTTCGCCAAAATGAAACTCACCAAATCTGCTAAACGCTATTGGAAAAACTTGACACGAAACCTCGAACATTTAGGACAACCTATCACCCTATGGGTGGAAATGAAAACAAAACTGAAAGAAAAGTATGTCCCACCATTCCATCGATCTCAGCTTCTAGAGCGTTTGCTTAACCATAGACAAAACTCCTCGACCGTGTCTGACTATAGATCTCGTTTTGATGAGTTGCTCCATCGTTCCAGTCTTTATGAACCCGAGGATGTCACTGTTACTCCATTTCTTAATGGCCTAAGGCCCGACCTTAAACACCACGTCACCGTGCTCAGTCCCTTTTCCCTAGAGGACGCCTATCACAAAGCCCTCGAGTATGAGAGGTACTCTCGAGCACCATACACTCAAAGGAGCCTTTCGAACTTTGTGGACCCTCGCCAACCACGTCCTAACCCATCCTCCACTCCTGGTAGTATTCCAGCATCAACTCAGTCTTGCACAGTTGTCGGGTCTTCTTCATCATCACCTTCACTTTCCCAAGATATCAATAAGTATCAACCTTCTTCTTTTGCTTCTTCCCATATCGCTAACCCGTCAATCGTGTGTCATCATTGTCAGAATCAAGGTCATATAGCATCTCGATGCCCTCATCGTACCCTTACTGTTAATCAAGAACCACTACTTCCAACACCGAAAATCGATGAATGTTTTACGGTCGATCCTATTGACCATTCTCATGAGGACCTCGAACAACTTGAGTGTCACGTGGAGGATGAGGTTGTTGTCTCAATCATGAGATGCATCCTCTCCACCCCTGTTAACTCTCATTCTTGGAAAAGGACATCAATATTCCACACGTACATACCGTGTAACTCTAGTTTTTGCAAATTAGTAATTGACGGGGGTAGTACCATGAACGCCATTTCCACCTCAGCGGTAACCAAATTCGGCTTCAAGCCTGAACCCCACCCTCGCCCTTTTAAGGTGGCATGGGTCAATAGGACTTCTTTGCCTGTTACTCATCGTTGTCTTGTATTCCTTACATTTGGCCCATATTCAGAAGACCTTTACTGTGACATTCTACCTATGGTTGTTGCTCACGTGCTTTTGGGTCGCCCTTGGCTCTACGATCATGATGTTAAGCACTTCGAGCGTGATAACACTTATGAGTTTGTCCATAATGGCAAACCCATTCGGCTTCTTCCAACCAAACCATTTGACCCCTCCAAGAGACCACCGCCTAAAACAACACCCACTTGTGCTACAAGTACAAAGAACCGAATTCAGGTCTTGTCCCATAAGGCCTTTGAGCTTGAGGCGCACGACACCGGGTTGATGTTTGCGTTAGTTACCAAAGCATGTTCCCAACCTACTACTGAAGCAAACTCTGATCGCCTCCTTGTTACCACTCCGTTGTTAGAGGAGTTTAGCGCTGTCATGCCAGATGACCTACTTGATGAATTTCCTCCCATTCGTGATATTCAACATGCAATCGACTTGGTCCCGGGATCACAATTACCAAATCGCCCTCACTATAGGATGAATCCTACGGAACGGGTCAAGCTAAATAAACAGGTTGAGGCATTACTATCTAAAGGTTTTATTCGTCATAGCCTTAGTCCTTGTGCAGTCCCCGTCCTACTTACGCCCAAAAAAGACGGATCTTGGCGTATGTGTGTCGATAGTCGTGCTATTAACAAAATTACTATAAAATATCGATTTCCCATACCACGCCTCGACGACATGCTGGATGAGTTAGTGGGATCCTTATGGTTTTCTAAAATAGATCTACGAAGTGGATATCACCAAATTAGGATTAGACCAGGGGATGAATGGAAAACAACCTTTAAGACGTAGGATGGTTTATACAAGTGGCTAGTTATGCCTTTCGGGATGTCTAATGCGCCTAGCACTTTTATGAGGGTGATGACTCACGTCTTCCGACCTTTCATTGGAAAATTTCTCGTGGTCTATTTTGATGATATATTGATTTACAGTAAATCGCGAGAGAACCACTTAGATCACCTTAGACAAGTCTTTCTTACACTTCGTTCTAACAAACTATACGCTAACCTTAAAAAGTGTTCCTTTCTACAATCACAAGTCTTATTCTTAGGTTTCATTATCTCTGCTTAAGGAATTTCGGCTAATCCAGCTAAAATCTCTGTAATTCGTGATTGGCCGAACCTACAACTTTGACTGAGGCCCGTAGCTTTCATGGATTAGCCTCGTTCTACAGACGATTCATTTAAGGTTTTAGTTCTATCACTGCCCCTATTACTGAATGTATGAAAAAAGGGGATTTCCATTGGACACCATCCGCAAAAAAACCTTCATCACAATTAAGCAAAAGTTGATTGAAGCTCCCGTTTTACGCCACCCTGATCTCTCTAAAGTATTTGAAGTGGCATGTGATGCTTCTGGTATCGGTATAGGTGGTATATTAAGTCAAGAGGGTCACCCTATCGCCTATTTTAGCGAGAAATTAAATCAGGCACAGCAGATGTATTCTACTTATGACAAAGAATTCTATGCTATCGTCCAAACTCTTCGTCATTAGCGTTATTATTTATTGCCTCAAGAGTTTATCCTTTACTCCGATCACCAAGCCCTCCGCTATCTCAATTCCCAACGTAATTTGAGTGATAGATACATTAAATGGGTAGAGTTTCTCCAAGAATATACATTTGTTCTCCACCATCGAGCTGGGGTCTATAACAAAGTGGCGGATGCTCTTAGCCGTATTACTACTGTACTCCAAACTATGAGTACTACGGTGGTCGGATTTGAACGTTTAAAAGATGAATATCCTAGTTGTCCCGACTTTGGTCTCATTTTTCAAGACCTCGTATCTAACTCCTCTCGTAATCATGTTGCTTTCTTGCTTAAAGAGGGTTATCTTTTTAAAGGTAACAAGTTGTGTATTCCTCGCACCACACTTCGTGAGTACCTTATTTGGGAACTCCATGCTGGAGGTCTCACAGGTCACTTTGGTCATAATAAAACTGTCTCCTTAGTTGAGGATAGATTTTACTGGCCTTCCCTTAAAAAGGATGTGGCTCGTATTGTGTCTCAGTGTCGCATGTGTCAGTTGGGTAAGGCCCAACGTCAAAACACGGGGATGTATACTCCCCTACCCGTTCCTTATACTCCTTGGCGTGACCTTAGTATGGATTTTGTCCTAGGATTGCCTAAAACTACAAGAGGTCATGATTCCATTTTCGTTGTCATGGATAGATTCTCCAAGATGGCCCATTTCATTCCATGTTCCAAGTCTACTGATGCATCATATATCGCTAAGTTATTCTTCAAAGAGTTTGTTCGACTGCACGGACTGCCAATCACTATTGTTTCTGATGGAGATGTTAAATTTGTTAGTTACTTTTGGAAAACTCTATGGAAATTGTTTGGGACAACTCTTAAGTTCTCATCAGCATTCCACCCCCAAACAGATGGTCAAACAGAAGTAGTAAATCGTAGTTTAGGTAATTTGCTTCGTTGTTTAGTCGGGGACAAACCGGGTAATTGGGATTTGGTATTGCCTACCGCTGAATTTGCATATAATAATTCTGTTAATAGGTCTACCGGTTATAGCCCATTTGAGATTGTTCAAGGTTTCTTCCCACGACAACTACTGGACCTCGTTCCGTTACCTACTGATTTTCGTCCTGCTGCATCTACGCAATCTTTTGCTGATCATATCCGCACCTTACATGAAGAGATTAAAAGAAAAATTGTTTTAAGCAATGACCACTATAAACTAACAGCTGATGCACATCGTAGGCATAAAGAGTTTAAGATTGGCAATTTTGTTATGATAAGACTTGCACCTGAACGTTTTCCAAAACATGCTGCAAAAAAACTTTGTGCTAGATCACTTGGCCTTTTCCTTGTTATTAAAAGGCTTGGAACTAATGCTTATCTATTTGATTTGCCAACGCACTTAAATATTAGTCCAGTTTTCAATATAACAGATTTATATCCTTATCAAGGCACATTCGAGCCTCCGATTTTGTCTTCTAACATGTTTGCAGGACAAGTTTCTCAACCGCTCCCTCAAGCCCCCATTACCACATTTTCACATCAGGATATTGTTGATGAGATGCTCGACGATGAGATCATTGCATCCCAAAACGGGGGTTTTCGTAGGTTTCTTGTGCGTTGGAAAGATCGTCCGCTTAGTGATGCTACGTGGATTAATGAAGAAAAATTTTGTCAATTGGATCCAAAGCTTTTGGATGCTTACTTGGATTATACCTCGCCGAAGTCGAGTTCTTTTCAGCCGAGGAGGAATGATGCAACAAGGAAACAATTAAAAGTCTATTCAAGGCGAAAGACTAATAATCAGTAGAATTCTAGTATATCTAAATTATAATAGTTTTATTTTGACAATGTTATCTTTTATTTTCAAGTTTCTTTAGATAAGAAGTTTATTTAATTTTAAAGTCCTTCTCTATATAAAGGGGCTTCGGGCAATGTTTAGAAACACTTGCATTATATGAATAAGATTATTTCTTTTGCCCTCAATTCTTCCCTGTGATTCCCCTTTCTTCTTATTATTCTTTATCAATTTGTGTGTTCCTGCATCAAAAAGTGTATCAAAGTCTCAATTGAATACACCGTGATTTTTAGATATTTCTTAAAAGTTTAAAAAAATCTCAATTGAATACTCCTAAACTTTTTAAATCTCAAAAAGTCATTAAAAGTCTCGACTGAATACACCCCTTTAATCTCCAAAGAATCGCACATTGAGGTAAATTCCAAACTATTTTGTTGTGTCAAAGAATGGGTTTCACGGTATTGTTGTGGTGAGGTGGGTTTCAAAGAATGGGTTTCACGGTAATCTGGGCACATGTTAAGATTTTAGTTTGTTTAATTGTTTCAAAGTATGCATTAGTTTACAGATTATGATTCAGCAAACTACAACCAAAGCTTGAAGTTTCAGATAAATCCTTTAGTTGTCCGTTTCAGTTGTTTCGTCAATACAAAATATACAAAACTGATACATGTTTAGAAGCATATTTTTGTAAAGTGGCCAGATGAGTTATATTTCACTACATGTTTAGAAGTATATATATATATTTTTTATAAAGTGGCCTGAAGAGTTCATATATCATATTTTTTGGTCAGTCCTGAATTTCCTATTTTTGTGACAGATGCGGAGGATGATCCAGACTTCAATAATTCAGACAACGACATATCATCTGGTGAAGGTGAAGATGTTCAATCGAAAAAAATGTGACATTAGTAGTGACTGAACAAATCGAACTTCAAGAAATGGATGATGAATTGATAAACCAAGACGATCACAACATGTTCCCATCAAGAATCCAAGGTTTATAGTATGAGGTTCTGTTAGACATGCTGGATACGTGGATCGTGGAAGACTGGATTGGAGCTATTGAGGAATTGTTGGCAAAGTTCCACTGGTCCAATAATTGTTATCTATTATTTTGTTATTTGGGTAATTGTTAGTTATTAATTTACGTGTATTTGTGGAGTTCTTACTTTAAGAGCAGAGGTCAAGGTTTCCGGAAGGCAGTTTTTCTTTATGTATTTAAACTCCTCCAGTTGCAGTAAGAGGGGGGTATTGAAAATAAAATTATTGTGGTTCATTCTCACCCGAAGTAGAATTCTATCTACGCTGCCATTCTAATAGCTTTGACTGGAACATATCAATGGTATTAGAGCTTAATCACCATGGCATCCAACAAAGAAAGGATTGAAGTTTTGGAGGCTAGACTCATCCGAGTTCGAGACAGGATACAACAGATGGAATGTGGTGAGGCTGATAAGTTGAACCAGTTGGAGGCCATCAATCGACTTTCGGAAGCTATGCTATCCCATAGAGAATCCCCTAGCCACCACAACACAGAACGAGATGGCTTTTCTCGTACCAACAGGATGATAATGACAGAGGTCGTTCAATTTTTTCCTCTAAAATGGCAAAACTTGAGTTTCCTCGTTATTCCGGCGACGATCCTACTGAGTGGTTCAACTGAGTTAGTCAGTTTCTAGAGTATCAAGGCACTCCGGAAGCACAAAAGGTATCCTTGGCATCATTCCACCTTTAAGTTGAAGCCAACCAATGGTGGCAATGGTTGCACCGAGCATACAAAGAGGATGAGCGATTGGTGACATGGGAAATTTTTGAGGAAGAGCTGTGGGCTCGTTTTGGACCTACAGAATGTGAAGACTTTGACGAAGCACTATCACGGGTCAAACAGGTAGGTTCCTTGCGAGACTACCAAAAGGAGCTCAAGAGGTTGGGCAACCGAGTGCACGGGTGGACGCAAAAGGCATTAGTAGGAACATTTATGGGAGGTCTCAAGGCTGAAATAGCGGGAGGCATACGAATGTTCAAGTCAAAGTCACTGAAGGAAGCCATTAGTCTCGCACGCATGCGAGACGACCAACTTCTTCGTCAGAGGAGATTTATGCGACTACAGCCACTCAGTCGGCCACACTCCAACCTTCCTGTTCCAGCAAAGCCCAACTTAACATCTCCAGTAAAACGCTTGACATGGGAGGAAATGCAAAAGAGAAGAGCTCAAGCTCTTTGTTTTAATTGTAACGACAAGTTTATTGTGGGTCATAAATGCCGAAGCCCACTAATCTTGCTGCTAGAAGGAAGCAACATCAATATCAAGTTTGAAGAGGTTCTTGATAACGAGACAGAAGTGCCCATAACTGATCTCCAACCTGAACCAGAGATATCACTACACGCTTTAACTGGATGGTCAACTTCTAGAACCATGATAGTCATGTTGGATATTGGTTAAATAAATCGAGAATTGAAAATCGATTAAAGTGACTTCGTATCGACTTCAGCCAAATACTCAAAAGCTCGACCCAAT